AAAAAATTAAAAGAAATTAAAACTATGAAACCAAATGAAAACCTTAATACATAGGTTGAAAAAATATTTGAAGAAATTTAAGTAAAAAGACAAAGAGACAGAAAATAGGAGATAAAAGACGATAAAAGTAGAAGAGCATTATAAGGATTCAAGAGCAAATTACAGGAATTACAGAAATACAGAAGAGAGAAGTGGATGGGGAAAAAAGTCATCAATGAGATAATCCATGAAAAGATCCCACAACTGAAATGCATGGGTTTCCGGACTGAAAGGTCCTAACCCACAAAAGAATAAAACTAATCCCAGCTCAAGACCTATCATTCTGAAATTTCATAAAACCATGGGCAAAATAGAGAATTTAAAAGTATTTTTTCTTTTTTTTTTTTTAAAGATTTTATTTATTTATTTGAGAGAGAGAGAATGAGAGAGAGCACATGAGAGGGGGGAGGGTCAGAGGGAGAAGCAGACTCCCTGCCGAGCAGGGAGCCCCGCAGATGCGGGACTTGATCCAGGGACTCCAGGATCATGACCTGAGCCGAAGGCAGTCTCTTAACCAACTGAGCCACCCAGGCGCCCCATGAAAGTATTTTTTTCTTAAAGAAGAAAATTTAAGGTTTTTGATGGTTTGTTTACAAAGGATCAAAAATCAGAATAGTATTGGATTTTTCCACAGCAATACTAGAAGCTAGGAATATTCTTCAATATTCTGGGGTAGAATGATTTGTAATCTGTACTTGTCAAACCAAGTCTGACTTGTCAGCATAGAAAAAAGATACTTTAAAATATGTAAGGTGTGTTGGGGGGCCCATAGCTGGTGTATTAAATTAAGAATATGCAGATTATGACCTGCTGAGTGAAGAGGCACAAGCCACCCACACAGCGTTGGCAGGTAACTCCCTCAGCACTTGAGCTCCCACTTTGGGAAAGAGAAAACCTGGGGGTCCTTTTGACTGAAGGCACAGTTTATTGTTTTATTGCTTTTTAAAAATTTTTAGAGAGAGTGTGCATGGGTGCTCCCAAATGGGGGGAGGGACAGAGGGAGAAGGAGGGGGAGAATCTTCAGCAGACTCCCTGCTGAGCACGGAGCCCAACTCGTGGGGCTGGATCTCATTACCCTGAGATCATGACCTGAGTCAAAACCAAGGGTCCAACACGCAACCTACTGAGCCATCCAGGTACCCCTGAAGCTGCAATTTTAACACAAAGGAAAAAAGTAAAACCACAAGATGTATTACTTACAGCTCCCAGAAGGAGGGGCTGGGGGAGGAGGTAGGGAGTGCAATGAGCTGGGGGGAGGGCAGTTCTCCGTCCCAGGTCACAAGGAAATGGAGGAATACTTTTAGATGTTTATAGGTTTATCTAGACCAAAACTATGATCCATAAACTCATGATCCAAATTATTAGTATTCTAAATAACCGCAGTGTTATCACTGATAATTTTAAAAAACAAATATTATACTTTAAATTATGACACAAATTTTACCATTTCTCCCCCTAGAAATGATTACATGAAGTGGCATATAATGGAAATGGAAAAAATTTTGCTATATCAGATGGACGCTTGTAAGGTAAAATTTTTATCTGAATCAACTTTGTAGTTTATTTACTCCTAGAAAATCTTTAGGATTAGAGAGGACTGGAGGGAAGATACTAGAATGCAGTTTATACTTACATTTGATTTATGATCATTTCAATCAAAAGGTGTCAATTCACACTAACTTACAGACCTTGGAGGTTATAAAGTCATTCCTGCAGGAACCAAGGAGATTCAAGAATTCTTGTCATAGATTGCAAATAAATGGCCACAAATTCTTTCCAGTGCCTCCGTGTAGGTGGAGTCTATTTCTTGATCCCTTGAATCTGGAGCTTGGCATATGACTTGCTTTGACCAATGGGGCATCAGTAAATGACCTGCAAACACTTAAAAATTGTTTGTGTGCTGAGAATACAAACTAGCCTTTGGAAGATGAGAGATCACTGCAGAGAGAAGCTCAGCCATCTCAACTGCCTCGGGTGAGTCTAACCCCCACCTAACCCACCAACTGACTGTAACTTCAAAAGCAGCAGAATAGTTTAAAGGCAGAGTTGTGGGGTAAATTGTTGCAAAGAGTAAATGTGAACTCATATAGTTCTGACATCTGTTTTTGTCATGAGCTCTAAATAGTGTATCTTTTATATGATCTGTAAAACTATAACATTTTATTATATTATTAAATATATATTTAATAATAAGAAATAAGAAATTTCAACTATGTAACAGTGCTATGACCAGTGAACTGTTTAGGTGCCAGTCCCAAGGATACAGGCAACAGACACTGGATCTTTTTTTTTTTTTTAAAGATTTTATTTATTTGATAGAGAGAGACACAGTGAGAGAGGGAACACAAGCAGGGGGAGTGGGAGAGGGAGAAGCAGGCTTCCCACGGAGCAGGGAGCCCAATGCAGGCCTTGATCCCAGGACCTTGGGATCATGACCTGAGCTGAAGGCAGACGCTTAACGACTGAGCCACCCAGGCGTCCCGACACTGGATCTTTCTACTCTGTTCATCCAAGCGTGGGGTTGTCTTTAGAATATTTAATCCAGTTCTCGTATCTTTAAAAAAAATAACAGTATTATTGAGATATAATTCATGTACCATAAAATTGACCCTTTTAAAGTGTACAATTCATGAAGGATATTCTCTTTTTTTGTGATGTTGTTGATTTTGTTACCAGGGTGATATTGGCCTCACAAAATGAATTGGGGAGTGTTCCTTACTCATCTATTTTCTAAAAGGGGATTAATAGATTTGGTATTATTTTTTTTCCCTTAAAATATCAAATATTTGAAGGGAAAATTCACCAGTGAAGACATTTGACCTGGGTTTTTCCTTGTGAGATTTGTATTTACCAATTCAAGTTTTTTACCCTCATATGTGTATTTAGATTTTTTACTTTTTTCTTTAGTTTTGGTAATTTGTTCTCTCCAGGAATGCCTCCATTTTCAGCTATTTTTAAAATTATCAGGATTATGATGTTCATAATATTCCCTTATAATACTTTTCATTTTTGTAAGGTCTATAGTGTTGTCCCTCTTCATTTCTCATTTTGGTAATTTATGTCCTTTTTTTCTTAGTCGAGCTAAAGGTTTATCAATTCAATCTTTTCAAAGAGCCAGCTCTTGGGTCCTTTTCTCTCTTTCCTTTTGGTTTAGATTCATTGATTCCTATTTTTATCCTATTTCCTTATTTCTACTTAATTTAGGTTTGATTCACTCCTCTTTTGCTACCTTCTTGAGATAGAAGCTTAGATTATTGTCTTCCTTCTAATGTAAGCACTTATTGCTATTAATTTCCCTCTAAGTACAGTTTTGGCTGCTTCCCTTAAATTTGATATATTTTTGTTTCCATCAGTTCCAGATGTTTTCTAATTTTCCTTGTGACTTCTTCTTTGGCCCATGGGTTATTTAGAAATGTGTTCATTTCCAGATATTTGGGGGTTTCTCAGATTTTTGTTTTTGCTAATTTAATTCCACTATAGAAAGAGAACATATCTTGTATGTTTTCAGTCCTTTAAAATTTATAGAGATTTGTTTTATGGCTTATTGTATGATCTATTCTGGACAATGTTTCATTTGTTTGAAAAGAATGTGTATTCTGCTATTGTTGGAGTTTTCTGCATATGTCAAATATTTCAAGTTGGTTGATACTGTAATGCGGATCTTCTATACCCATCTTGACTTTCTCTCTTGTTCATTGCTGAGACAGGAATTTGAAACCTCCAACCACAACTGAATTGTCAATTTATCCTTTCAGTGCTTATGATTTTTGTATTACATGTATTAGAATTTCCTTCCTTTTAAAAGCTAATATTGAACATGCTAATAATTGGTAATTTAAGTGCTCAAAGCACTTAAAGAGTGCTTTTAAAGCTGTACAAACCTTGGCCTCTGAAACTGAAACCAGTCTTCATGCTGTCAGCTCTTGCTTTCTCTCCCTTCCCATCCCACGCTCCCCTCCGGTTTTGGCCTCATTTATTGCTACTGCAGAAAAGACTTTATGTTGTGAAGAACATGGCCATCAGCAGTTACCTCAATAAAAAGCTTTTTTTCCCCTCCCTTTTCTGTGTCCACATAGCGATTTCAAGCAAGGGCTCAATAATGCCCAACTCAGGTCAGTGCCTATCCCTTGGCCCAATTAGTGTTGCTAGAAGCAGAGTATTATTAACTGGCATTGTGACATGCCCATCTCAGTGGGTCAGAGGACACTCTTCTGTTGCCAGAGGGGTTAAAGAGAAAGCTTCTCAAGCAGTCAGAAAACAATGGCTACCACAGACCATGTTGGTATCTAATTGTAGGAGGCTCCTCAAAGTCAGGCTTAGGGGGCTGAGTAGAAAACATGTACAAGGAAGAGACCTATTGTCAGATCTGTCAGCTTATCTGGGAGTAGGACGGATTACGTAGGTTAATCTACATTATACAATGAAGTTCTAAAAAGAGTATTGCACGTAGGAATGGAAGTAATTGGGAAGGGCATTTATCCCAAATCATATTTTTCCCCTAATAATCAGCCAACTTTTATAAAACAAGAACACTTCAAAAGACCCGATTTCGAGCCATGTAGTAGCAGAAAAATTCTTCAAGTTTTGCTTAGGATTCCTGGGGGGGAATTTAGTTATTTTCAGCCTTTCCCACGATTCAGTTATTTCTGCAACCTAAACATGCGGCTGGACAGTTCTATTTCAGGTGTTCCTTTGCAATTATTGAGCCAGAGAGGGCGGTGGAAGACAGCCCCACACCCCAGCTCGAACCAGGGGCTGGCCCTTGTCAACACCCATTTTAGGAATTCTCAGCAGGCTCCCGACACAGAGTTCTATGCAAGTTTCTCCTCCGAGGCCCTAGGCGCTTCCTTTAACGAAAGCCCACAGCAAAAGTCCCCACCCCAAGCAAAAGATTCCCCACCCAGTCCAAGACTGGGAAGATGCCCCACCCAGCGGTAGGCTGGGCCGGCCTCCTAGGCTGGTTTAACTGGTTAGGACGACCGAAGCCTGCTGGCACAAAAGATCTGCACTTCGGGAGCTGAGGAGCAGCCGGCTAGAACGTGGAGAGGAAAGCTCTTTCCTTTCTCAAGACCACCGCAGGCGATGCCTTCCAGCAGTCTTCACTGTTAACTTGCTCGGGGTAGGTGTTATATCCCACCCAGTCCCCCAAGACCAGGAACTGCGCAGGCGCCCGCTGAGCACTAGCGCGGCGCATTCTCTCGCGTGCTCCCTCAGTATCCTCAGCGAGCTTCTGGGCCGAAGGAATCACGGTGCTTCCTGGGTGTTGTAGTGTCCTTCCTCGACGAAGGGCCCTCACGTAAACTGGGCGATGGGCGCCCGAGAACTACGCCTCCCAGCGTGCTGCGCGCGAGGGCACAGGGCGTTTGCCCTTGACGGCTTTAGCCGTCAGCCCAGAGAGGAGGACCCGGGAAGCCGGCAGCGGCGGGAGGAGGGAATGCGCGTGCGCGTTGGGCCGGCTCGTCGCGTTCTGTCCCAATCATTGTAAACAGGCGGAGGCTGGGGCGGGGTGGGAATGGGGCGCCCGAGGCCGGCTAGGGGCACAGCGCAGGAGGCGTCTACGGTGGCTGCGGCGGTACCGTGAGCGCGAGGAGGCGGAGGCGGCGGCTGCGGCGGGGGCGGGTTGTCGCGCGGCGGCAGGCACAGGTCAGTGGCGGTCAGCGGTGGCGTGCGGGGGTCGTAGCGGTGCCCATCGCGTGCCCGGGGAGCCCTCTGCGCACCCACCTCGCAGCGACGTCTGTCAGGCATCTTGCGGGGCTGGGCGCTCGCCGCGCGCGGAGCTGGAGTTGGGGGTGGGGGGCGTGGCTGCCCCGAGTGCGGGTTCATCCCGGGCAGGCTTCTCCCCAGTTCTCGCCCCGTTGCCGGCCGTTCCTCCCACTTGCCAGCCGGGCTTCCCTCGTGGCATCCGCATTTGTGATTTGGTGCTCTCGGGGTCCGGAGGAGGAGAGTCGGGAACCGGGCCCCTCCCCACTTGAGTCTCCAGGCCTTAGGGCAGCTCTTGGGCACCGGAAAGGAGGAGAGGGGACTCTATCTTTTATATAATCACTATTTTTTTTAAATCGCACCCGGAATATTTACCCGTCTCCAGGACTTGCCCAGTGGACGAGGAAAAGGTTCTTGATGTTTCCCACCGCTGGTACGGAAGCAGTGGGGCTCCTTTGGGTGCTGCGGTCTTTCGTTCAGGTTTCATTGCGAATGGACGAACAGATCCTGGAGTTGAGAATTCTTTTTACAACTCATTTTCAAGTATGCTTGTGCCAAAATGTTCTTATTGAGGTCACCTTTTTTCTTTTTAAAAATTTATCGTTATGAGAGTGAAACAGGTTTTACAAAATATTCCACACCCCAAGTCTTAACCTGAAATAATTACGGTGTTTCGAGTTTTGGGATTCATTACTTCAGAGCCTCCCTCTTGACCAAGCAGCTTGTTTCCTCTAAGGCCTAGTAGAGTTCTTGAAAATAATTAAAATGTTAACTCGAGATATTTTGAATGTGTATTGTAGGAGTACAGTCGTTTGGATGCAGTTCACCCACCATCTAGCCTCATTAGAAAAGCTTTCACTGAATGGTTTGTAGAGTGGAGTGGGCATGTTCACATGCTGCAGCACTTTCCGTAGCATTCCATCATACTTGGCAGTTTTCATAAAGTATTTAAGTGGTGATAAGGAGCAAGCTCACTTTTGGTTTGGTGATTATGGAGGCAGCACTTCTAAATGAAAAAATGGGACTGTGAGTAATAAAAGTAACCTCACTTGATGCCTTCCTAGTTGTCTTGGTGATTTGATAGTTCCTTTCTGAGTGTTTCTGAAAATGAGTAATTGCTGTAAACTGTACTGGCAGTAGGAGAGGTAGGAAGGAAGTTAGAGTGGTTCCCACTTTTCTGAGTGACCCATAGATTTAAGTGGGGTAGACTAGTTTAACAGGAACCACTGAGAAGTAATTCTTTGAACAAAGTATCTTGAAGCAATATGACATAATTTGCTCTCTCTTCAAAATAGTATCTCTCATTTTAGATCTAATTTAGGAAACTAGAAGTGTTATCAGAAAATGAATATTAACTTTAATTTGTACACTTGTATTTGCACAGATGTTTGCTTGGCCAGGGGAGACTGGGCTTGAACATAACCCAAAAGTGTGTTCTTTCTTTTTTGAAAGAAAATTCCTGATAGAAACTTAAGTTCGTATATGTGGAAGGAACGAGGAAGAATGCAGGTCATTTAGTTAGTATAGAGGAGTTACTCTATAGCAGGTACTATGCCGGGTGAAGAGAACTTACAGATGGATTAGGCAGTGACCCTGCTTTCTGGGTGATAAGGCTTTATCTCTTACTTGAACTGTTCTCAAGTACAATATGTTTTTAAGATTACTTTGGAGAGAAAGTATGGGGGTATAGAGGGTGTACAAAGGAGATAGTGATCAGTTTCCTAAGGGAAGAGAAGGAGAGATTGAGGAAGGTGGCGGTGGTAAGGAAAATATGTATAGGAGGGGATGAAAACAGTTAGGTTGAAGGAACAGTGTGAACAGAAGCACAGGAGTCTAAGCCTCCATAATGAGTTGTAGGATCTGCAGGTGTAGCTAGTAGGCAGGGGCCAAATTATGGATAGTCTTACGCACAGTTGAAGTAGTTTCAACTTTTATCTTGGAAGCAAATACAAGTCACTGAGACAGGTTAAAGAAAACAGAAGCCTAAGCCAGCTCAGCCCATTTTAACTCCCTGCTGTGTGTCACATTAGGTACTTAATGCTTTATGTCCTTAAACTTGAAGGTTTAGGCATGACTGAGGCAGAAAATGAGGGAAACAAGGGGCGCCTGGGTGGCTCAATTGGTTAAGCACTCAGGTCATGATCCCAGGGTCCTGGGTTCAAGCCCCACATTGGGCTCCCTGCTCAGCAGGAAGTCTGTTTCTCCCTCTCCCTCTGCAGTTCCCCCTGCTTGTGCTCTCTCGCTCTCTGTCAAAGAAATAAATAAAATCTTAAAAAGAAAAAAAGAAAATGAGGGAAACGAACTTAAGGCAGAAGGAATGCTGGATGTGATTAGAGAGAGCATGGAACACTTTGCAGAGCTGGAAGTTGTTCTCTGCAACTTTAACATTGGGTTTATGGTGGTAAGTAGCACATGAGGCTGCACAGATCGGTCCTTGAGTATTGCATGACATTCTAAGGATTCTAGAATTTTTTCCCTATAGGTAATAATAGAGTTTATGAATTTTAATCAGGAAAGAGTCATGATAAGGTTTTCCTCTTAGATCATTCTGGTATTGTAGAGTGCAGATTTCAGAAGGGATGGAGGGAAGATGAGGCAGGGTGCAGAAAGACTGGTTAGGAGTTTTTGTAATAATTGAGATGACAAGGCCCTAAACTAAGAGTCGTGGAGATACAAAGGGGTAGGTTAACAGTACAGTACAAACAGTACAAAAACATTTAGAAGGTAGGATCCATAGGATTCAGTTACAATTGGATTTTAACTTGGGTCATTGAATAGACAATGGTAGAGTACAGTTGACCCTTGAACAATGTGGGGGTTAGGGGTGCTGACCCCTCTTGCAGTCTAAAATCCATGTATAACTTTTAACCACCCCCAAAACTTAACTACTCAACTACTGTTGACTGGAAGCCCTACAGATAAAGTCAATTAACACATATTTTATATGTTATATGTATTATATGTGTTCTTACAGTAAAGCTAGAGAAAAGAAAATGTTACTGAAATCATAAGGAAGAAAAAGTATGTTTACAGTACAGTACTGTATTTATTGAAAAAAGACCACATCTGAGTAGCCCCACAGAGCTCAAACCCATGTTGTTCAAGGGTCAACTCTACTGAGACAGAGGAAGAGGAGCAAGCTTGGGGAGTAAAAGTATTTTAGCTTTTGGATCTATCGAGTGGGAGTAGTCTATGAAACATCCAGGTGGAAACATTAGCTACAGAGTTGGGTGTGGGTTTGGAGTCGAAGAGAGAGGTCTTGCTATGAGAGTCAGCAGGCTATATTATAGGTAGTAGCTGAAACCTTTGATTTACGTGATACCATGTAGGAAGAGTTTACTGATGGAGACTAGTTCTGAAAATAGACAATGGAGAACATTTATTTATTTATTTAAAAATTTTATTTATTTATTTGACAGAAAGAGACATAGCGAGAGAGGGAGCACAAGCAGGGGGAGTGGGAGAGGGAGAAGCAGGCTTCCCCGTGGAGCAGGGAGCCCAGTGTGGGGCTCGATCCCAGGACCCTGGGATCACGACCTGAGTCGAAGGCAGACGCTTAACGCCTGAGCCACTCAGGCGCCCCAGTGGAGAACATTTAAAGCCAAATTGAGGAAGACCTGGAAAGGGAAATTCCTATGTGTTTAGAGATGCAGAGAAATCATGAGAAAATGTCATAGAAGCCAAAATGGAATCATTTCAAAAGGAAGCTATCCTTCACAACCAACTCCAGAAAAAAATAAAAATTTTTTAAAAAGGAAGCGATACTTCAGATGCTTTGAGAAGTTGAATAAGACAAGGATTATTAGGAGTCTGTTGAATTTGATAACTAAGTAAGAGCAAGTTTGTAACATTCTACCTAATGCTGCCATTTGGGGAAGGAGCTAGTTTCTTTGAATTGAGAAGTTAATGGGAGATCAGAGAGTGAAGAAAGAAAATGTGGATTAGTTTAAGAATAAACAAATCTTAGCTGTGAAGAGAAGAATGGAAAGAGGTGTTAGATGGTAAAAAGGGTTAAGAGAGCGATTTTTAACATGCCAAAGACTTGAACCTGCTTTTTTCTTATGACAGTTTAATTGAAATGTACTTTATATAATGTAAAATTCATCCTCTTAAAGTGTACAATTCAGTGGTTTTTAGTATATTCACAGAATTGTGCAGCCATCTCCACAGTCAACTCTAGAACGTTTTCATTACCTCAAAAAAGAAACCTTTTACTCATTTTCAATCACTCACCATTCCCTCTCTTCCAACCCATTAGCAGCCACTGATCATCTCCTGTCTCTGGATTTGCCTCTTCTGGACATTTCATATACATGGAATCACATATATGATCATTTGTGACTGACTTCCTTTACTCAGTATAATGTTTTCAGGGTTTATCCATATTATAGCATATGTCAGGACTTCATGTCTTTTTAT